CACCACGGCTATCTCGGCGATCATTTCGAATGCAATTGTAGCCTAAAAGAGAGAGGTCGGAGTCAGCTTCTGATGCTGATGCCCACGTCTCAGTTACTAAAACAATATCAGGACAATGGACGAAAACCTGAGTCTGAAGCAAAGGCATCTTATTAAGCAAGTATCTGGCATTTAAAACAAAAGTTTGAAGGGAAAGGCTGTTAGTTTTTGAGGGAGGTGGGCTACATCGTCCAGTTCTGGGTCGCCCACGGAGCAAACGGTCCGGATACAACCATCCGGTTCTGCAAAAAATTTTGTGGCATCAAAAAATTTTGACGTGGATAAAAAAGGGGAGGACTTGGGGGAGGGAATGACGGGCAGGTAAACTGGTAACTATTGTTAGCTAACTTATTTTCAGCTGGAAATCCGCGGGGCAGACACTGCAACGTATTCCCGCCGGGACGAAACTGAGGATCGGATGAATTAACTGATTCAGTATGGACATTATCATGAGGAATAAATTGGTAAAACGGCCGTGGAGGAAACAAGTATATTGAAGCTACTGTGTTTCCATCATCTCTATTGCTGGAAACGAATTCCAAAAAAGTAAGGTGGCAGGCCTGACATGACTTTTTGGGTAAAAATGCATGTTGAGAGGAGGGAATGAGGTTGGCGTTCATGAGATGGTCTAGCAATTGGTTGTATACTATTTTCTCGAGGATTTTAGCTATAGCCGGTGTTCGGTGAACACCACGATAGTTTTGGGTATGAGATCGGTTGCCGCTTTTAAATATGGGCGCAATGGTCGAGTATTTACACATGTCCGGATGGCAAGGATTTCGCGAGAGAAAGTACTGTAGCGTGTCTGCGCCGGTTGTAGCTTCTGTAAAAAGATAACCAGTGGCTGCATCTGGTCACTCAACTGTTGGAAGCGGCATTGGTCAAGATTAGCTGTGCGTGGGGGTCAGAGATGAGATGGTGAAGCAAAGTGGCCGCATGGTCTCCAATCATCAGTCGATTTCTTGGGCAACATGTGGAGGAGGAAGAACGAATAATTCCTAAATTCATCATATGCTCAAAGTCGTTCCTTGCTATCCGAAGTTTTTCGGGGTGAAGATGGCGAGGATGAGCGTGAACAGGTTGCTCCGTGATGATGATGTGGTATTTAACCATATGCTGAATCTCCCCCGTGAACTGACAGAGCTTAGTGAGGGACGAGTAGCCCTTCAAAATGTCAGCGAAAGGCGAGCTTGGTACGGTCAACTGGATGCTAACCGAGGGTTCAGAAGCAGCAAAGCCAACTGCAAGGAGTGTGTTTGTGGTATCGACAAGTTTGCAATGCTTGAGGTCGACTGCAAGGCCAAAATGTATCAGGAAATCTGCTCCAGTAATGGGAGATTTAACGTCGGCTTGCACAAAGATCCACTGGAAACGTCGCCGAAGACCGATGTCAAGTGTGAGCGGCTGTTGGCCAGTAGTTCTGATGGTGGTGATATTGGCAGGCTGCAATGAAAACTGCGAAGGCTTGATGTGGTGGCGCCTTGGAAGCGGGACGACACAGATCTCAGCACCAGTATCGACAAGGAAACGGAGGCCGCTCGACTTGTCACTGGTATAAAAGAGGCGACTGGGTCGTGACTGGCCAGCGGCAGCCTTCGACGTTACTGGCTGGTGCGACTGTTTCCCTGTGGTGAGGCCTGCAGGTGTGTGCTGGGAGGGATGCACTTGCCTGCTTTCGGACCGTAAATACGATGATACAAGCACAGAGTTGGAGAGGGGCGTTCACGAGATTTAGAACGACGGCGCGAGGGTGACTGGTTTCTGGCTGAATGTAAGCTATTTATAGCAGTGCACATGGTGCTCAGTTGTGTGCACAAAAGATGTGCAGTGTCTTTTATGCCGTCATAGTCGCCGCGGTGAGGATTGTTCGGCTGCCTTGATGCACCTGATGGCGTGGTGGCTCTGCGTGATGAGCAACGACAGGCCGACTGCTCCACACAAGAAGTGTCGCGTTCCACTGAAGGAGTGCCTTCTGTATAGGAGATGGCTATTCTATCCGATCTGTCGGGCGCCGAGGTCAGTTGAATATTGGCGCATGTCGCGCCGACTGGGTAACATTCACTGATCCTGTCGGCGTGATTGGCCATCTTGTCTAGAGAGATGCTAATGTCCAGAATGGCCGAAACCTGCTGCATGGGAACCAACAATTTATCTAACCAGATTTGTCGAAAGATGGCGCCGTCCATCTGATGACCAGCCAGCAATGAACGCATGTGGCGCATAAGCTGCGAAGGAGTTTGATCACCCAGTTCTACCTGCGTGAATAACTCCCGAAGCATCCGATTGGCCGACTTAGCCACTTTCTGGATGATGGCATTCTTTAACTGCGTGTACGGGTCGTTGGCAGGAATGGGGTCGAGGAAGTCGTTCACATCGACGGCGACGTCGAAGGAAAGACTCAGCACCACGTAAAAGTATCGGGTGCGTTCGCTAGTAATGCACCTCCTTGAGAAAAAAGCCTCAATCTGACGAAACCAAACCCGGTGTTGCCAATCCTACAGAGACAAACTGAATTGCCTTAATTTATTCCCTTTGTGTTATAGGCAGCAAAGAGGTGATCTTATCCTCGTCTACAAGGTAATACATGACCTTGAGCATGGACTTAACTTTGAGGGCATGTTTCAGTGGCACCTGTCACCCAATCTTCGTGGTTACTCGGTGGAGTTACGAACAACAATGTCCAGGCTGAATCTCCGTTCTGAATTTCTCACGCAAAGGGTAGTGGAGAAATGGAACGATCTCCCTCAGTCAGTCGTGGAGTCTACGTCTCTGCAACTCTTCAAGAAACGCTTGGCTAATTATTCGTGTCCCCTGTTTTCCGTCGACAGTCTGAATCTGAACTAATACCCCACGACCCCAAATATTTTCTCTGAGACAATGCTACTCAAATGAATCAAGTACTGTTTTAATAGCAAATATTTTTGTTGCTAGAGTACACTTCTTTCTAACGAGCTGACATGTAATTAATAGGGTTTTCAAAGGCTTTGCCTATTATCCTTACCAAATAAACTGAAAAGGGGTAGTTTGAAGGAAAGGGCATTGACGTAGAAAGAGTCTGTTTTATGTTCGTTATCAGTCATGGTAAAAAAGAGGTCGTGTAGATATAGAAAAACAGGGTCACCACTTTTGTAGTGCAAACAGCAATTAAACTACAAAGAATAACAAATACTTAACACTAAGTGGGAGATGCTGCGTTTCTTAAGAGAAAATTAACGATAGCAAAAAGAGTATAACAAAAACGACAATAGGCAAATTATTGTACAGACTCACGAAGAATAAAGCCTTCCCCAGTGTCGTTGGCCGTAGGGTGTATGTTCTGGGAAAAATCTCGAGACGAAGTCAGTTAATAAGGCTTGTCGCTCAGGTGAATTTACGTCAAGTTAAACATGGCCAAAAGATACAAACGTTTCGTGTCGATTGACTAAATGCGATTGAGACGAATGAGTGCAATCAACGAAACAATGACACCAAAGCAGAAGACGGACATAAAAGTCGCGCTTTTTCACAAGCCGAAACCAAGTGTGTATTTTAGCTTATTTGAACAACCGTACAGAAACGTTCAGGTGCACAAGAAAGTTTAGAGTGAAAAATCGAAAATATGTGTTAACCTACAAGAAAAAACTTGATAAAATTTTACATCATGGCCATATATTTATTGATAAAGGCTGACAAAATGTGCCAAATATCTGCGTAGGCATGTGCACGTATTTTTCAGTCTTTTTGTGTAAATAGGGTTTTTGAAGGCTCCGCCTACCTCCCATCATATATACTGAATTATACTGAAATAAAAAGTAAAATAATACAACTGCTAACGTAGCTGATACAGATAAAGAGCAACTGCGGAACGCACTTTATGGACATCCCATCTAAGCCAAGCCTAGTCGTGAACTCGTTAGCCACTGCGCTATCGATGAACGGTTTGGCGCTAGTCAGATATGTTTATCGACTACAGAAGAGCAGCTGAAAACGGTGTTTAATTCATTAGCAGTCTCTTGTGATAAAATGCCGCTGGAATCATTGGACTCCAGGGAGATTACGCACAATAGCCTCGAAGAGATAAGACAGGAAATAAGAACCGATGCACTGCCAAGAGGCCTCGAAAACTGTATGACAGACGGGACGGATTCTGCGCTTGTCGGTCGCTGTGTTGGCTGTAAGGAACTTGAAAAGCGGGTCCAGACGCTAGAAGAGAAGCAGGGCCTACTGACGGACATCATCATGGTTATTCTTAAGCACAGTAAGATAGAATTACCAAATAATCCGCCAAATTTTCGATCGATCGGCGACGAACATCCTACAAATAAAGGCACTATCGCGGAAAAGTCTAAGCCAGTCAGGAAGAGGAAGCGAGTTATGTCTCCAGAGGAAACTCTAGACAAATCAGTTCCGGTGGATAACGTGGCGGCCGACACTAATGCATTAAAAATAAGTCAGGTTCCATTACCTGCTATAGTAGCCAAACCTGCCAAATCATCGAACACTAAAGTTGGGAAAGCCAGGGTGACCCTCAGAAGATCTGTTAGAAACTACAAGGACTCGCCGTTATTCTTGGAAGGCAATGCTGTTACTCCACTTCTTCACAAGGCTAACTCATCTGGA